CGAAAAACACAAATTTCCGACGGAAGCATTATAGAATATATAATGTTTATTTTTTCTCTTTCCCCCTATATAAGACTCAATATATAAGTAGGTGTTCGTAACATCTAAATATTAACCGAGTTAGGAAACTTTTCAATAGAATAAAAGTTCTTCAGTTTGACAAGAACATCCCTAAAAAAGGTGTAGGAAATACATTAAAAAAAAACTAACAACTTTCAAATATCAGTATACATGTCTAACCTATCCTCACCAGAAGGACCTGACCTAACCTCCTATCCAGGGGGCTCCGCCATCCTGGACCCCATGTGTGCCCTTTTCTGAATCTTAACCACGTTTACTTGCAAAAAGTTAGGGTACTCACCGAAGTGGGGTTGTTGGCTTCAGTCACACCTGGCACCACTATCTTTCACAATTTTAGTAGTAAATTATCGTCATTTTTATCATCAAACACTTAACTCGGTTTTCAGAATAAGTGAGTTTGTTTGACAGCAGCAGTTGGTTATGGAGTATTCACTATTTCCTTTTAAAATAATTTTCTGGTCCTTTCACAAAGTAAATTTCAACCCGGAAGTTTGTATAAAGAATATTCTTGCATATATTTATGAATAAATGTCGGAGAAGCCCGTACTGGGGCTAATTTTAACAAAATTCTTGCCTTCCGCCGGTCACTGACGAACGGTAAACATTCAGACACTGGCAGATTTTCACAACAGTGTTCTCAGATAAAAATCTTCCAAACACGTCAGTCTAGAAACCCCCCCCCCCAGCTAAATCCAGTTTACAATCCCGCCTAGTTTTTCACAAAGAAGTCAGTGCTTTAAGTAATTGTTACTTGAGACATAAATCATAATAGAATTAAATCTGAATAATATTATTTTTTGCTTTAAAATTTTCAAAATGTTTATCACCTATTTTTTGTGTGAAACAAAAGTGAAGGAGTGTCTCCATGGTGGTCGTACACATACACCATTACACGCAACACACTTATGTACTAGAGACAAGATGTGAGAGTAGTGTTAGAGTATGTTCAGATAATTCTTTCATTGGTTCATACCATCAGAATTCTTGTAATTACCACAGGTGGGTGCAACAAGTTACCTCAACAGTGTCAGACAGAGCTCAGGGTGGAATGGCAGGTATGGGACAAAACAAGAAACTACTCTTTCAGTTACGATAACTGTACACGGCCACGCTCCTCAAAGCCGAATGCCGAGTGTCCAGTAAGTAGGATACTTACCTCATAGCCATCTGAACCATCAAATATACTGTTCATAAGTAAGTGAAAATATAGTGAAAACACGCCCATAAGAGTTCCGGGGTTCAACTTACTTTAAAACATTAGTGGGCTTTCTTTTTCGTCTTGTACCAGAAAACTCAGTTTGAAGCCAGACGAAAAAACACTTAACCCACCAACTTTAAAATATCCTCAACAAACTTAGAAAAAGGAACCAAATTTGGTGCGGGTTTACCACCAAATCTGGGAACACTGTTTGACCATCTACGTCATGCGTAAATCCACTACTTATTTACAGAAGTCACTAACTTTATCATTTGCAGTTTACATTATTCAATATATAATAAAGTAAAAGAACAGTTATCTAAAAAAAAAAAAGGAATTGAAAGAAATGTACCATAAATCAAAAACATTTTGTCGTAACTAATATTTTATATCCAAAGACAAATAATGATACCCTCCAATTATCGTTAAACTGTAGCTGAATATTCGTAATAGTAATAGTGTTACGTTCTTATAGGATCTTTCATGTTTATTTTTTTTATTTACAAACAAATAAATAAGATAATTTTTGACAGTTTGGATAGGTAATAACGAAGAATATAATAAAAATAATAACTGAAGGAAACAAGTATTTTATGTAAACAATTCTCATTTTAAAATCCCAGTGAAATTTAGGTAGTATAAGAGGTAGTGTCTCGTCACCTCAAATTATACATAGCTGGTGTTCTAAAGAGAGTGATGGGGTGACACAGTCGTGATTGTAACATGATGGTATAGTAATACAATGTTTGACATGTAGTGTGATATAATAGTATTAGTATAATGTTACGGTATAGAACACGATGTTATCCGCAGTCACGACCCTGAGAGCAAACGAACAGAGTTCAGTTAATATGAAAACTCCAGATCCCTGTGTCGACTACTGCACAAGTCCTCTATCTAGATTCTAGTGTAAATGAGATAGTGCATTACTTTTTAGCCACAGCGCCATTATCTAATGTAGGTCCTTGTCATTACTTCAGGGCACACTACCTATTTATCCACCTTGAACAGATCGACTCTGAAGTGTAGGCCCTTATGTCCACACTATTATAGTAGTTACTCCTGCAGTTTTTTATTTTTCTCAGATACAATATTGAAAGAAAACGTAAGTAAAAGGAAATTTATGGGTAACAATGCAAACTACAATTTTTTCAGGACTCCTGCTGTAACGATAGAAACGGTAGGTAGAGTAATCAGACTAAAACACAAAGTACAGATATATATAAACGAATTATAATTAAAATATTTAACCAATAACATTTATGAAAATTAGAATGATCCATCAAGCCTTGATAACCGCTCAAATCCCTTGAATTTATAACCACAAACCAAAAGATAAGTATAACAATTGCTAAATATTAACGATGAACTATTTTACGCTGCACCTGAAGTCGTGAACTATTACAAATACTATACAGCCGTTGCTCCATCATTAGTCAATAAGTTACCAGATACCTTACACTACTAAAGAGTACACTAAGATGTTATTATTTCTTACTACAGAAAGAAGGGGATCACATTAAAAAGTCCGTAACTCTATAGCACCAGAAGACTTTACGCAAAAAGATATGAAGAAATTAAAACTCTACAAAACCACAGGCGTAGCAGATATCTCGGCCAAGATTCTAAAGGATAATATTCCTGAATTCAAAACACTAGTGACCCCATTAAACTATCTATGGTACTGCTGTGTGCTTGATGAGCTTAAGTATGTCAGTTACATCTGTCTTCGAGAGAATTCACAGATCAGACTAAACAATTATAGGCCTATTAGCATCTAATGTATTGTTTCTAAAATCAAGAAGAAAGTATCTTTAATAATAATAATAATAATAATAATAATAATAATAATAACTCATATATAGAAGGATAGTCGCGTTAAATTTGCAATAGGCGTTTGAAAGAGTTGATCATGAATAAAATGTCGACACTTGCAAGTGCTTGGCATTGGAGCTGTTAACTAGTTCATGGACCTTCTTAACAACAGTAAGTAATTATTAAAACAAAAAATAACTTGTTTGAAACCATTAATTTTCTCGTTACTCTATATAAATAACATTCCCATTAGAGTCAAAGGTTAAATTTTATTGCATGCTGATGGGTTGTTCTCTTAGTGTCAGGTGGTGATCCAGAGGACATAACTAACATGCTATTATCTAACCTCATGTCTATCTACTTCAGCCAACATTCACCACTAAAGGATGTGTTGTTTTAGGTATGTATGTACTCCTAGCTTTGTCATTCTGAGCTCAGATCCCATCTACATTGAACGCTAAATATTTGACTCTCCTGGAGGTTCAGAGGTACAGTCATACTGCCGTCACCCCTCTCTAGAAAATGCAGATTGACATGATCTAATATGACAGAGAATATCCGTCAGGCTGTCTAAGCAAATGCCGATTACTGTACTACGGTATTTAGCCTTGTACCTTGTCTGTGAATCTATCTAGCGGGGGATGATGTTGGTGTCAGCTGGACAGTGTCTCGTTCACAGTCATTGCTTCGATTATCTGCCCTGTCCATCGTCTACTGCCGTAATAAATCAACAAACAGTGACATACATTGTACTATGTGTGAGTTCGCCGACATCCTAACACAAATTTATCTTCTTCAGGAAAATACAAAACTACAGATAACTTGCCCAGAATTTCTCTTGTTTTTATTCGCAGAGACACAGAGAGTTGAGTCACAGTATAGAGTTTATTGTATTTTCTATTAGATGTTTTTGTTTATTTTATGTTACAATCAAGCAGAACTTCTAAAATGTAAATACAAAAGTAACACAATGAATGCCATTATCTGTCCAGCTGATGCACTCCTCTTCTCCTTTACCTTTTTCATCGTTTATGTTTCTTAATTTTTTCCTTCTTTAGTTTTCTACATTTTCCTTATTCTTCTCTTTTTCCTAAATTTCCCTTCTTTTTCCTTCTCTTCTTATTGATATTTCCTTTTGTTTTTTCTTCAACTTCTACATCTTTTCTTTATCATTTTTCGGTTTCTCTGTCTCTCCTTCCTCTCATTTTCTCTTTACAAACTCAGACATTATGATTCAATTCCTTTTAAATAGAATTAGTATATGAACAATTCACTCGAGGCCAACACTCTTATCAAACCTTAGGGCTGTACCGGGAGATTATCACCAGTTATGAATACCTGTATGGTGAAATGCTTTACTATTCTGTGTTCTAAATATGGAGAAGGAAAAAAGGCACTATTTTAGTAGTTTTATTTACTTATTTACTGAAGTAAGCTCTTAGTACGACTGATGCTCTGTGATTCAAAATAACAACCATCTTATAATTTCTATATCTTTATAAAATACGGTTCAAAATTATGCATATGATTTAATGTAGATAAAAAATCATTTATATTTCTAACCATCTTCCTGATTTCTCCCTTGTATTTCTTGTTATACGTTTTGTTTTCTCTCTCTACTTAAGAAATGAACGAAGTGTGCATTGCGTTCACCAGTGAAAGGTTAAGGCTTAATGCAATGAAACATCCACGGTGAAAGCGGTGTCCAATATGCACTGTTTGTAAGTGACGGTGGAGCCTCTCAAGGTGACGACGAAGGATCTAGGTGTTACATAAGGGCCTTCAGGTGACGACGAAGGATCTAGGTGTTACATAAGGGCCTTCAGGTGACGACGAAGGATCTAGGTGTTACATAAGGGCCTTCAGATGACGACGAAGGATCTAGGTGTTACATAAGGGCCTTCAGATAAGGGCCTTCAGGTGACGACGAAGGATCTAGGTGTTACATAAGGGCCTTCAGATGACGACGAAGGATCTAGGTGTTACATAAGGGCCTTCAGATGACGACGAAAGGTTCAGGCGTTATATAAGAGCCTTCAGGTGACGACGAAGGATCTAGGTGTTACATAAGGGCCTTCAGATGACGACGAAGGGTTCAGGCGTTACATAAGGGCCTTCAGGTGACGACGAAGGATCTAGGTGTTACATAATGGCCTTCAGATGACGACGAAGGGTTCAGGCGTTATATAAGAGCCTTCAGGTGACGACGAAGGATCTAGGTGGAGAATATTGAGGCCCAGGTGACGAGGAAGATTTATAAGGACCTCCAGGTTATGACGAATGTCCCAGAACCAATGAGAAGTACTTAGGTTTAGGATCCCAAATTTAGGAGGACCACGCCCAGCCCTTCGACGAGGAACTGCCGCTGGTCCTGTGGTTCTTCTGGGAGCGATTGTCCAGAGAGGAGCGAGACAGTGCTGATTCTTCATAGCGAGGGTCTGATGATAATAATAATAATAATGATAATAATAATAATAATGATAATAATAATAATAACAACAACAATAATAATAATAATTGTTCACAAAAAGCCGCTATTAACCTAACAATAGTTCAAGAGCTGAGAGTCCCACGATACGATGTGACAAGTAGGTTGAAAGTCAGCATCCGACTTGTGAATAAGATTAAGCAGAGGGATAATAGAAAATACATAGGCAATAAACGTTCTCCTTTGTTATGTGTCATACTGACCACAAAGCTATCTTAACGAGTGACCTGCTGAGATGTTTTGCCATTAGGGTGAACTGTGGATGCATTTACTGTATCTTCCCCCCGTCCCCTCTCCCATCCCTTCTACTTCACCCAACAAGTATAAGTTAATTTTGCAACCTTTGAAATTGTTGTAAAATATGACGCCCTGTATGCACACATTTACGAGGCCAACATCCCCCTGAGGACTTACCGAGCAAGCAATCACGAGTGACGGTGACGTATCCTGCCTCGGTGACGGTGGTGGTAGCGGTGGCAGCGGCGGTGGTGCTGGTGACGGTCTTTGTGGTAGTGGTGAGTGTTATGGCTGTCGTGGTCTTACTCACTGTCTTGGTGATCGTCTGGGGAGTGAGCAATTAATAGGTGAAGTTTGTAGACAGTACATAATCAGGGGAAATTATGGATCATTAATAAGCTACTAGCCTATTTCCCTCGTCTATACTACAACTTTTAATAGGTGTGGTGTGCTGGTGACTCCCAGGTAAACATAACCAAAGTAAACATAAGTACCCAGATGTTAAGTTTAAAGTAGGTTATGTTCAGATTCACGTATTATAGAAAACGATAAAGATATCTAATCCAAAGAAAATTTGCCTACGTTTTAGGCTAACTTGTGTAAATCGAACTCACATCATCTTCAATTACACATTTTATCAATTACTCGTAAATATATTCATCAGAAGTTATTGGTTTATATTTAAATAAGGAATTTGAGTTAGGTTAATAGAATAGATTTTGATAAGTGCAAGAAGTAAAGATTTGGCAGAGTACATACACGGAAATCAATAAAAACAAAATTCTTATGAAAATGATGGTGATTTAAAATAAACTGACCTAGTTATAAAAATTAGACCTACCCCAACTACCAATGATTTTGATTGCTTAAAGTAGGCAGGGCTTTGAAGGCGATGGAAATTGTGAGGTAAAAACATGCAAAAAGCTAAGGAAACCTGACCTAATCTGAACTAACTTTGCCTAACCTACCTTTAGCTTACCTTTATCTTGGCGATTTTGCATTTTTGTCTAAATCAAACGTGTTTATCTTCACGATAATAACAGTCTGTACCACATTTTTGAAGCGTTAAGGAAGTAAACAATAAATCATGAACCTTTGAAAATGTCAATAGCAGCAGCGTCGTTGTCCAGAACACGTTGAATGGTTCCCACACAGACACACAACACCCATCACACAACGAAAACATTCTAAGACTGAAAAGTTTCATTCCAAATACCTGAGCATGCGCATATTAATCACGTGACAGAATGACGTCCCCTGATTGGTTAAGGCTGATCACATGAGTTTCACGTCAAGAAGTCAACATTAAATCCAGCAGAAAATACTCCTGCGAACTTAAATGTTTTTGTTAATTAATACTAAAAATAACTCTAAAACTTGATTTCTCATAAAAAACACAATAAAATAAAGTATTCTTATTGTTTATGCTCCATCATCCTATATACCAAATAATATAGTTTTCCGTGTGTGTGTTCTACCGAGTCTTAACCATGTGAGGTGTTCTGGCCACTTATCCACTTTATTCTTTTCATCGCGGATATTAATGGTCTGTTTAATTGATATTCTAAAGGCACTAAATTTAGCCTACCTCTGTCCCTGCTGAAAGGAGCGTCTCTGTCTCTGTCTCTGTCGCAGTTTCCGTCTCTGTTTTCGAGATAATCTGATGGAGGAAATAGTATAATGAATATTAAATTTGATAAAACTAGAAACAGAAAAAAATTAGTAACAAATTCAACTAAAATTACTTGTTTTATATCACGTGAAGGATTTCCTGTTAAAAAATGTTCCTCTCGGCTATAGTTTTTGTTGCTTAAATAGGATATAAAGAAGTAAGATTTTTAGGATTGTTATTATTATTTTGTTCTCTACCTTATTTGACTTGTGTATTTATTCGACGGTCTTCAGTCTCTTCTCTCGCTTTCCTTATCACCATCCAACTCACCTTGTACTCGTATTGTTCACACCTGAGTCACGGTACCGTCAGATATGGTCTTACCTGAGTCACGGTACCGTCAGATACGGTCTTGGTCGTAATCTGTGTGATGGTTTTCTTGGCGCTGACCTCAGTGACGGTCTCTGTGGCTGTCTCCGTCACAGTGCCGCCGCCCACGATCTTGGTCACGTGATGAACGTTCGTGGCACATCCCTGGAAGATATTAAGAGTTTTATTTTGTATTTGGATATATACTGGCTGGTTTTATAAAGAAAAGTAGAGACCGGCCCACCACACCTGTAATTAATTAGTTTCTTCTCTGTGGGTCAGTTATCGACCTATGGGTTAGCCTCTTACCTGAGAGTCAGCCTTCTTATCTGTATCTCTGGTCCTTATATGTGTTTCCAGTCCTATTCTTGCTGGTCAGTCCCTACGAGTGAATCAGGCCCTATGTAGCGGCCAGTTCCTTATCTTTGGGGTCAGCCCATAGCCTGTATATCATCCCTTTATCAGTAGGTTAGCCTTTCTTCCTATAAAAGCAGTTCCTACTTGCTTGTCAGCCATAGACTTGTAGTTTACCCATTTACCTGTGAGTTGGAGCTGTAACTCGGTTGATGGTTCCAGTGAGCTCCGTAAGGTGTTGCCAGGGCGAGGTCCATCAGCAGCCACGCCCACACCATCACCACCACACTTGCCACTCCCATTCTCACCCTACAAGAAGCAAGTAGAAAGGTGTAAACAGGTACTAGTCAATCCATTGTTTACCATGATGAGATGTATCAAGTAAACCATGTATTGGGAGCAAGTAACAAAATCACTCGCTTACAGGATGTTGTAACCACTAGAATCTAGACTAATGTTAGGATATAAGCACCTCTGGAAGTATGTCCCTCAAGCAGATGTGAACCAAACTAAATGTAAAGTGCCACACTCCAACACTACGTAAAAATAAAGCTCTTTGGTGATATTTCCAAGCACACAGTGTATGCAATGACAAGATAACTGATATTCTAAAGCTGTATCCACACTTCGCATCTAGTGCCTAAAGAAACTTCTATGTACAGACCTAAACAAACAATGTACTGGAAGGATTCTGTAACACTCGATGCCGTAATATCATAACCACTGTGGTCTGATAAACACCCCTTGTGGCCTTTACTCAGTAATCCTTTTGCTCTACTGCTCACTGGATTAATATGGTGTGCACAATAAACTAGGTACTGTCCGCGTAAAATTCAAAGTTAAAATTCTTATCCTGTTGACACGTGACTATAAACAAGGAGGATTTATATTACGTATAATTATCGTAAGTTAAAAGCCAAACTCTTGCCAGTCTATAGAAAATTCTTTAAAAACAATATGGGATATTACCATTTTTTTAAGAATAAGTTTGACGATGCTTCATTTAACTGTGATGATTAAGCAAAACATAAATTACATTTTGACACCACCTAGCACGAGAATAATATGTTGCTTTGTTTTGGGCAAATACCCTAAATGCTCAGTAACATGCATGCTAATTATTTCTTTTTCATAAGGATAATAAGGTAATAAATAAAATATTTACGCACACACACACACACACGCGCGCGAGCGCGCACGGTTGTACGGTATTTCCCTTTGCAAGTGTACAATATATAACTCACCTGAATTTCGATTTCGGAAGTAACTTAACAGCTCAGCAACTCCCAGATTCAGAAGCTAACAGCCACGTTGAACAACTCAGCAATTCAGCTGTGGTGACAAAGAGTGTAACAAACTCAGGTACTCAGAAGTAAGAGATGAGAGAAATAATAAGTCCGAAAACTTAGCTATGAGGCGATGAGACAACAATATACTGTAACTCAGCTGGTAACAGAACGGAGAGAAGTATGTCACCACTAGTAACAGACTAAGCACAGTGCCTCGTCCTGAGCTGTGTTACATACTATATATATACACACACGAACACCCCTCTAACTTCCCCCCCCTCTTGACAATGGACACACACACCCCTTCGTCACCCACGTACAACTTTCCATATTGTCACTTTCGTTTTTTTTAATCTAGCGAGCGCTGATCCGCATGGTTAAAGTCATTTCCGTATTACTTTTTTTTTTAACCCAGAGTTGCTATTGAGGAGGTTTCCTGTATCCTTGTACCATGGCGTTGCGTTTGTCACCTTTGTGGTCATGTACTGATTATTTTCTCCCTGTCAGCAATCGTCGGTGGCGTATTGTTTACCGTCTGTAAGGCACGATGGTGTGGTAGTGGCTGAGGGTGCGGGAGGTGTATAGATGTCTGTATTTGTGTGTACCTATGTATGTGTGTGTGTGTGTGGGGGGGGAGGAGGGGCGCTTATCTGTGTATGTGTATATTTATGTGAATATGTTTGTGTTTGGGTGTAGGTATATGTTTGCTTATAAATATGTACGTATGTGAATTGACGTACGCAAACACGTGACGTTTATTTTCGAAGGATATTTCTGTATTCATAATGTCTTTACATCTATCTAGTACCAATTTATTTTGCTTATGAAAAGGGATTTGATTGTCCTTGTCGTCTCTGATAGAATACACACACACACACACACACACACACACACACACACACACACAAACACACACACAAGGACCTTTTAAACCACAGACTATACGCTTGAAAGAAAATCACTTAATAATCTCGGTCAGACACAACACTCAAACTTTAACACAAATGAAGGACTCTGAGGTCAGTTATACACACCCCGTCACGTGTTTAGGCTCCTGGAGGATTTTGTTTTGTTAACGAAAGACAATCACTTAACGTCTCAGATATGTCTAACAAAGTCGAATATCTTAGTTTTTTATAAAATACAGAAACTTTTGTCGGTTTTAGTGTTTTGGTTATGGCTCTTCAGACAAGATTGTTTTTCCTCACGTGGAATATATCTGCGAGTTACCTCCTTGAGTACGATGACTTAACCCCATGAGTACAATATCAGAGTACTCAAAGGCTTAGGTTATCCTATTTAAAAGTTTAAGACATCGTACTCAAACTTAAACGTAAAATATTAACAGTTACCTAAATAATCATAAAGTCACACCTAAATATTCGAGTAATTGAGAACTATTAAAGAATTCGATATTTGAAGGTGAGTCAATTAAAGCAGTATTCCTATTATACGATATGGTGTAAAATGGTCAATAACTGCATAAATTTATTCCATAGATCGTTAAGTAGATTGAACATTTCCATTACCAAAGAGGAAGTGAATGAGCATCTCCTCCTTGGCCTGTTGGAGCTGGGGTGATCTGGGAGAATCTTCCTCATTATACCTCTTGGCCTCATTATAGTTGGCCTCAAGTGCCTCGTCAAGCTGATGTTACTTCATCTCAACAGCAAGTTCTTTCTTTATTATTGAGGTGAAATGAGAAAAGGTAATGATAGTATATTCTACTTTAATCATATATTGTGAAGTTGTTAATGGACTGTAAAAAAAATGACTATAACTTGTTCCGAGTTATTATCCTGTCATCCACTGTTAGTCTTTCACCAACAGCACTAACAGGAATCTCTCTCTCTCTCTCTCTCTCTCTCTCTCTCTCTCTCTCTCTCTCTCTCTCTCTCTCTCTCTCTCCCTTCGTAAACACGCATATGAGTACCAAGCTCTTTCAATAAACCGTTAATTATTATTACTATTATTTATTATTGTTTAAGGGACTCAGCAGTGATAACCAACACCAATAACCTGCAGCCAATACTACTCCACCTCAAGGGTGATGTCGACCTTGGTACATGTTGCTCAAGACTCGAGGAATAACAGAAGGTAAGACCGGTTCTTCTTTTAATAATACCGCCGTTAGGCATTGTGTTGAAGGAGTCTCGTTATTATACACAAGGAGGTTGAAAAATATATCGATTCTCACCTAATTCATTGTACTCAAGGGGTTAGTATCGTGGTTAGTGTGGTTTAGTATGTGTGTGTGTGTCATCTATTGTAGCAACTGAGATTTGAGTAAGAGGTGATCCAGTAAACTTTGACAGTTAAAACATCCCAACAACAACAATTCAATTTAACAAAACTATGTAAACTATGACATTAACAATAAATCAACATATTTTAAACATTCCAAACAAGTAAATAATAAACATTCAGTATTTTAAAACAGAAAAAAGTAAAAACTTAAAACTCATTACAACAACAAACGAAACCCAATTATAACAAAAAAAAAAAGACAGGAAAACAAGAACAGATTTGGTAACACAAATAAAAAGATTTGGTGTTATTTATCTGAAAGTAAAATAGCCTTAAGAATTTTACATTTACTCATATATACAGTACATATTTAATCACATGTACACAGTCATTAGGTACAATGATACTGATGACCATTTTTGCTAATGTCGGGAGGGCGTCACTGTGTCCTTTCAGCGTTAATTAGGTTATGTTGTGTCACCACGTCCATCACACCTCATTGTGGATCCCCTGCATCAGCTGTACCAAGGTAGACTAATTCCCTTCATATTGGCAACACTGTTTCTTCATATGTGGCGTATTAGGTAATGTCTCTCTCTCTCTCTCTCTCTCACATTGTCATTAAAAATCACTACCAAGTTTCCTATCCTTATTCAACTGTCCTTCCTCACCTGTCAACAATTAATGATCCCTGTCAACAGCAGCCACAATAACCATCAATAATCTACGCTTGTTGATTACATCCACAGGAGGAAGTAAGACTGTAAATCAAACCCACTCACTATATTAGACTGAAACTTCAGCTACAGATAATAAGTATCAGCATCATCCACTCCCACTTACCCGTAAAGGATATCAGCAGAACTCAGATTTTTTCTCTCACTTGTATATTGTAGTTTTTCATCACTTAATGTGGATTTGATTCTATATACTTGATGCTCTGGTGAATCCAACTAATTTATACGAAGGAAATTAGAAGTGTAAACGGTAATCTCAGGCTCTAATTTTAATGGATGACTTTCACAGCTTCACGAATGTCAACAAGTGAGGTAATAAAAGCCATTGCTATTAGGAAGAGTATAGCTGGGAGTACCAACGATGATTTTAAGTGACGATAGCGTGTGTGTGTGTGTGTGTGTGTGTGTGTGTGTGTGTGTGTGTGTATGTGTATGTGTTGGAAAGACGTTCATAGTATCTATAGATGTAATAGTTAATAGCAGGCTAACTTGTAACCCTTGCACTTAAACGTGTATAAAGAGTCAGGTGTGTTAGTCAGGTATTTCTCTCATCTTACACTAGCAGCAGCAGACAAACTCATACTGTTACCATCACCATCAACTTACTCTAGCGTTAACGATAGTATTTTGTCAGTTGTTGGTAAAGTCAGAAATATATATGTTGACAAAATATACCCATTCTGTCAACATATATCTGACAACACCAACAACTGACTTTGAATAACATCACTGTAAAAAAAAAAATAATAAAAAAAAATCCTGAATCTCTCAAAGGCAAACTCATGGTAACAAGAACAGCTTCAGGTACCAACAATAGGTGGTGAGTCATGCCAAGCTGGAGCGCAGTCATGGAGGACAGGGCCTGGACTCCTGACGCCGCTAGATCACAGCACCATGGTCTTACCCGCCCTACATTGTTGAGCCCGAATGATCAGTTTTTTTCTTTATAGAGACTTGTATTGAGAAGCTACTGGAGTGGTGTGTGTGTGTGTGTGTGTGTGTGTGTGTGTGTGTGTGTGTGTGTGTGATAGGCTGACAAACAGACGGAGCGAGAGTATCTGTGTATATGTAAAAGTGCTTGGATTTGAATGCATGTAGGAGACAGAGAGAGAGAGAGAGAGACAGAGAGAGAGACAGAGAGAGAGAGAGAGAGAGAGAGAGAGAGAGAGAGAGAGAGAGTATATGTATTTCTTGTAGGTTTAGGTGTGAAGATAGACATATGTATGTATATATTTGAGAAAATAGGTGGAATTTCCAGTGTATTGTTCACGTGAGTTCACATATATTTTTGGTGAGTGTATACATGTGCTTATTTTTCCCTAATTCGTCGGGGGATAACAGACACCCAGACAAATTAACAGAAAAACAACTACAGATAAAAACACGGATAGACAGATAGTTACAAATAAAAACAAGAGGAGGTATCAACACCCCTCCCCCTCCCTCACCACCAACCCCAACTGCACACGAACACAAAACCGGAAATCTGTTGTCGAGGAAGGTGTGACCCTCGACGAAGAAAATATTTATTCAATATTATATCTAGTTTTCTCTTCATTTCTACATTGATGGATCACACTAGCTTAAGATCAGGTAGGTGAGTCACGCCCAGTAGCGACCCTGTTCTTTGGGGACTCTGAATGAATGCTCACGTATTAGGGGAAATTGGCACCACCACCACCATCACCTGAGGCCTCAACCTTGGCTTTGACGGAATTCCCACTGAATTATGCCACACCCTTTTTCCCTCCTTCAACTCCCCGCCCCCACATCTCCTCCCCCCCCCCCTTCCCCACTTTACGCTGAGTCCCTTCCATTCTTATTTCCCTCCCCTCTCTCTTTCTACTTGTTTCCCTCTTTCATTTTTACATATTTTTCCCCATCAAGAAAACTTTGTTCCTGTTTCATATAAGAGGATTCACTGTATGAGCTCAGGCGGGGCAGGTTCTTATGCATCTTGTCTCTTGTGCTGCGGCTGAAGTATACTGTAATCCCCCGGACTTTAGGTAACAATTACTACAAGGATTTATGGAAGCCGATGTTTATTCTGATTTAAGAAATTTGAAGATTTATAAAAAAAAATAATATTAAAATATGTAGACTGATTATTACGATGAAATTATAATGCATTTGTATGAATAAAACTATATGAATAAATAACTAGCATTCAAATATTTAACTGAAAAATATATACATGTTTTATTGTAAATGCATAAGTGTCATTAA